GCAAACGGACAAGGTGTTCGAAATGGAACATATTGTTTTTCATAGATGTTTCTTTAAGCAATAACCTCAGTGCATAATATGTTTGCGCCATTTTGTCCCAGACGAATTACAATTAGTGATGTCGCGAACCGGCGAACCGCCCGAAACGCCATTGACTTCAATGGGGAGGCGAATTTTAAAACACACAGGGACTCTTTCTGGCCACAATAGGGATGGAAAAGTTGTTTCAAGGGGACTAACACCTGGACTGTGGCATGCCGGAGGGGGATCCATGGCAAAACTCCCATGGAAAATTACACAGTTGATACAGAGTCTGGTTTTAATCCATAAAGGGCAGAAATCACCTAACATTCCTAAATCACAATGAATATGGATTGACACCTGACATATGACATATTGACACCTTGACATATGGATTGACACCTGTCCTCAGAGCCCCTGATGCACACGGACACAGAGCAGAATAGAGACTGGTCCCCCTACATAGGGTCACTTGGCAGATATGGATTGACACCTGTCCTAAGGATCCCTGATACACACTGACACAGAGCAGAATAGGGACTGTTCCCCCTACATAGGGTCACTTGGCAGATATGGATTGACACCTTGTTACAAACTGCTATTTGTAACGGGCCCTTTAAATGGCAAATTGCCCTGCTTCCCTGGGTTGTGGAGAAGCCTATTTGCCAGCCTCCTCCCGCATGACTATGGCCCCTGGGAGATTGTGAAAATGTATGCACTTTTATTTGGTGTGTATGGCCCTTTAAGACTGTCGGTGGGCATATTGGGGCTTATGGACTCTTTATGTGACTGGTGCTGGCCCTTTAAACACCTTTTTTGGGACATCAGGAAGATTGGGACACTGCCCCTTTAAGGCCGTGTCCCCAGACTTGTTGGGGACACGGCCCCTTTAAGACGGTGTCCCCTGTGTCCCCAGACCTGGTGCAAACCCTTTGTGCCTGCCTTGCTATTTCCCACTTGGTTCAGTAAATGGGAAATTATTTCAGCTGCAGAGACTAAGTCCCATTCGGCGATGGGACTTAGTCTTTTTTTCAGCCTGAAATAGACCGACCTCACAGCCCAAATCTATGGAACTGTTTTGGGCAGGAAAATGTGCTTGCGGTCGGTCATAAAGGGACCTCCAGCTAACTTTTTAACCCCTGGATGGATTTGGCTGATTTTTGGTTATGTTTATGTTTTAAGTGTGCTGATTCCAAATATGTAATTATGAAGATGGGATGTGTAGTTTTAAAGTTACAGGGTATGGCTAAAAACTGTATTTTTACTGCCTGTGTTTAATTATGTTAATCTCTTCCCAAACGTCATTTCGTTCAAAGTGGAGAGAATGTTAAAAAAATATATTTTTGTTCGGAGTGTGAGAAATGCTTTTCAGCCGCTTCTAATCTTAAGCATCATTTGAGGAGCCATACAGGAGAGAAACCTTATTTGTGGTGTGTTTAGTATTGTTCTGATCAGTTTAATACCTTCCGCGTCTCCTATCAGTGGACGTGTATATGGCAGCCATTTTAGGAACCGTACACCTGGGACCCGAGCAAGGTCACCTCGTTCAACAGGCTTGCAGCGTATCCTCCAGGAAGAAGAGCCTGAACCCTTACCGGCTGCACGTGTCTTAGCTGTACATGGAAAGCTGCTGTGGTTCCTTGATGAGCCAGCTGCCCGTGAGTTAACATGTCCCGTGGAGAAGCACTCTGTCCTGTAAAGCCTCACCAAAAAAAGGAGTGGTGTGTTTAGTATTGTTCTGATCAGTTTAATACCTTCCGCGTCTCCTATCAGTGGACGTGTACACGGCATTGATTTTTGTAACAGGGAGATGGAAGAAGAGGCTTGGTCGGTCCTCTTACTGCAAAAAACTGGGCATTATTCTAGGGCCAAAGGGAATCACAGCACCACGACCACGATGGCCCCTGCGGGGTGGCCTGCCTCTGCCTGTCATTTTTGTTGGGATTAGTGGTACTATGCGTGCAAGCTACTGTGAGACCATGAGTGGCAATGTGCACTGGCACAGTTGTGCAGAGCACAGGCTGTAGGCCTGACACCCGCTTGAAGATAACTAACTGCTATTCAATCTATAACAGTGAAAAAAGTTTTTTGTTTTTAAATCCAAGCTATTGTGACACCAGATCTAATGGTGGCACTGGTCACCGTATCCACTGTTAGCGTAACACACCGCTTTAAGGACACTGACTGCTATTCAATCTATAACAGTGAAAAAAGTTTTTTGTTTTTAAATCAAGCTATTGTGACACCAGATCTAAGTGGTGGCACTGGTCACCGTATCCACTGTTAGCTTAACACACCCGCTTTAAGGACACTGACTGCTATTCAATCTATAACAGTGAAAAAAGTTTTTTGTTTTTAAATCCAAGCTATTGTGACACCAGATGTAATTGGTGGCACTGACTGGGGAAATGGGCACAGTATGCACTGTGAGCCTGACACAGAAGCTGGCAGCAGTGGCAGACAACTAAGTGCAATTACATTACATAGAAAAATAAAATAAAAAAAAAGCATACCCTTATCCCTAACCTAGCTATGCTTTTTCCTATCTTATGAACAGCAGCTACACTTTCCCTCCTCTTACTAAGCATGCAGCTTGAGAATGAATCTAAAATGGATGCCTTCCAGGAGGTGGGAGGGTCTGCTAGGGAGGGTGTGCTGCTAATTGGCTGGAATGTGTCTGCTGACTGTGAGGTACAGGGTCAAAGTTTACTCGATGATGACGAATAGGGGGCGGGTCGAACCGCGCATATGTTCGCCCACCGTGGCGAACGCGAACATGCTATGTTCGGTACATCACTAATTACAATAACAATAATGCATAAACAGGCTTCAAGGCTATGCTACGACTCTTGCAGTACACAATATACTGTGGTAAACTTAAGTAGATAAAGATGTCCAGACTAAGATGCCATCTTGAACTAAGTCCGGAAAATTTAGTTATGGCCTTGTATGTTTGCCAAGTTAAGGGAGGTCCTAAAATGAATAAAGTAAAAGAAGTGGTACTTTCATATTTGAACCACGGTAACCCTAAAATGGAGACACCTAAGGTATAAATAGGTGTACTTTTAAATGTTAAGACACAGAGGAGAGACTTGGAGACAGACAGATGCTGCTCCATCTTAAAATGACAGAGGCTGACATGATGACATGTTCAGAAGGGTATGTTAATGATGTTTGCCAGCATTTCATTTAACCCCTTAAGACCGGAGGCCATACAATTACGCCCTATTTTAGGCGGCTCTAAATGCCGCCGGGCGTAATTGTACACCCTCCGGTCTTTTCTTACCCGGTCGCCGGCGATCGCGGTGTGGGGGGGAGGACTCCCAGGGAGCCCTCCCACGGTAGATCCTCCTCCTCCGGTGCCCCCCGGCCATGTGAGAGTGAGGTCCTTGCGAGGACCCCACAATCACATGGCCGGGATAGCTGGCTTCTGTATTGTCAGCAGGGGGGCTGCCTGTAATTACAGGCGGTCCCCCTGTTGGCTGGAAATAAAAGTATAAAAAAAGAAAGACCAGGTCAAGACAAAGTCCAGTTTCAAAAAGGCCTCTGGCCTGTTTATTTTCTGTTGTTGTGAAGTAACAGGATACAATGAACAGCAAATCTTCTTTCTCCACAAAACACCTTCTTTCTCCTCCAAAACACTTCCCTCACTTCACCCTGCTAAAATGTATTACAACGATATCGGCAGTAAAAGTGCAGTTTTTTGCATTTTTCATGCACAAACAGCACTTACACGGACAATATTATTGCTGTGGTACTTTTTGCTGTTTTGAAACACAAATATTTGTGTTCAACGAAGTCTGAGTACAACAGTACCCCTCATGTACAGGTTTTATGGAGTTTTCAAAAGTTACAGCATCAAATATAAGGCTTGCGTTTCATTTTTTTCCACATTAAAATTCGCCAGATTGGTTACGGTGCCTTTGAGACCCTATAGTAGCCCAAGAATGAAAATTACCCCTATGATGGC